TAATATACCTACAATAGTCCCTTCTGGTACCCAATACTGGGTGGGGGATTGACCCAACCTAAACCCTATACCATCCTATACCCTAAGCCCTGAACTAGTCTGTGACAAGTTCCAAAGCATGTCGAGTCGTCGGAGGGCAGAAGCTGGCCAGCCACTGTTTGAACAATACGTGAAATAGTCCCCCTTAAGTAGATGAGATATGGGGTATAATTGGGATCTCTATCTACTTGAGGGGGACTATATACTTCCCCGTAAATGAGGTCCTCACAAATTCCATATATTTTTTTTTCACAAAATTATGGGCCCCTTTTGGTTACAGAGTATACGACAGCACCTAGTATTAGGGGGTGCCTAAATTAAAATGGACTCTGATTCGAAGAACTACCCTATACCCTAAACCCTAGATAGTAGCTTCCAGCTTCTTTCCCATTATCCCTAAATAACCCCCATAGAACGCTTTATACCACTAATTTTGGACCATTAATTTTGGGAACTACTCATTTTCGTGCGATTTGAGGGTGCTATGACTTGATAACCCTGAACCCTAAACCCTTAACCAAAACCCAGAACCCTAAACCCTCCCAACAAGCCCTGAAGCGTCAAACCCTGAGACTTGGAGATAAGAATCCCTAAGGGGCCCATGTAGGCATATAGTATAGGGTTTAGGGTTCAGGGTCTAGGGTAGGTATGTAGTATATAGTATCTATATATATATATATACTTAGGGACCTGAGGGTTTCCCACTTTGGGGCCGTACTGTATATGTTATATGGTCTAGGGTTTAGGGTTACATGAGTTTAGGGTTTAGGGTTACACGGACCCTTTGTTATCCAGGATTGGCAACAGCGCTGCAGCTGAAAGAGGTTCGCAACTGGATTGTGGCATCGGTTGCTGGCCTGCAAGTCTCATTCGCTCGGGATTCAAGTCTTGACATGATCTCTACGGTTTAGGGTTTAGGGTTGGGGCCCTCAAGTCTTAGATACGAATTCTTTGCGGACCCAACCTCTAAGGCGCACATGAACTGATTGAAAACCATTGGATTGGTTTCGTAAGGATGTATTTTGGGGGACCTCAGCCAATTAGGAAGTAACATCACAGGTTTGAGGCTACAGAAGAAAATGCTTTAGGTGGACCCCCCTCCCTGTCATACTGATTAGAATGGGATAACAGTAACTATATTCGGGTCCTCTTCTCTTCCTATTATACCACTATTACTAACTATTTCAGGGTGGGGGGGGGTCCACCTAAAACATGCCTATTTCGGAAGCTTGAAGACTAGCTGCTCACGAAAACGTATTCTCGTCATTTTGGCGTCCGCAGCCGGTCACCGAAGACCAAAGGGCCCAGTTTGGTTTCTGTGGGTAGGGTACCGCCTAACCCTGTGGGTGTATCAGGAAGTCCTGGGAAGGAAGCGATGATGTGTCCTCCCTTTTCTGCATAGGCTCCCTAGTGCTAACTGCATGCTTCAAGAACGTATCAAATTCGAGTGTGGGGGGGAGGAGGTTTACTTCCACGAGCATCCGATGACCGCATGGCGTGGTAAGGAGCTGGCAAGAAAAGCGTTCATCCCCATTTTCCTGTAGCTCTGGTCAGAACATGTCAGAAGAGAACGTGTGACTGCTGTTCCTGCCTGGGATGTTCTCGAATTCTCTTCCGAAATGCCGACGCCCTGCCTCAATCACCCCTTAACCCTAAACTTACTAAACTCTAAACCTATTAAACTCAAACTCTAAACCTATTAAAACTCTAAAGCCTAAACCTATCAAACCCTAAACCTTAAACCCTAAACCCCTAACCCTACACCCCTTAAACCCTAAGCCTCTTAAAAGCCTAAACCTGTACCCAGGATCCCATAGTCCTTTGGAAAACTCCTTAGGTTGGCTTCCTGATGGTTGTCTTGGTCCTCACAGTGCTTGAGGAAATGCTGTTCTATGGCAGCTTCCACGCCTCACAGTATCTGGATTAATGTCAGGGATCCTTCATACTTTTGGGGGTATGGGGTCTACATAATTGATTATGTAGAAGCATCCTTTTTCTTTCTAGGGAAATGTGCGCTAAGGTATCTTGGCTCTCGATTTATAAGGTTTTAACAGATGGACGTATAGGGTTCAGGGTCTAGGTGCTCTTGAGAATCAAATGGAACGTCGGGTTTAGGGTTTTGTGTCTTTGACATGGCCTTCACTAGGAAATCCGCCGCCATCGGAAAGCCTTGCAACAATTCGTCTGAAGAGCTTAGCCGCCCAAATCCAAACCCCTGCACAGTAAGTTGAAAGTCATGACAAGAAGTTAAGTCTTGATAGATAAGCCCTACCTGCAACGTCACGTCTCTACAGTTTTATGGGTTATACTCACGGGTAATTACTATTCGTCTGAAGGTAACTGTGCCAAACTCCAAACTCCAAAGCCCAAACCCTACACCCCAAACTTGAGGCCCCAGAAAAAAACTCTAAAGCGCCAAAACCCTATCCCAAGAAGTAAGCCTTCAAAGCCTGACCCCAAGCCCAAGAAGCAAGGTCTTGGCAGGTTCGCCTCTTCGTCACCCAGGCGCGGTTGGTGAAGCAGACCCCTGAGGGTCCATGTAAATATATAACATAAAATCATTATATGATTTGGGGTTTAGGGGTTGGCCTAAGTACACGGTTTGGGGTTTAGGGTTTAGGGTAGGTATAGGGTTTGGGGTTCAGGGTAGGCATATAGCACGTATGTATATGCATCTGTATATATGTGCAGGGGCCTCAGGGTTTACCCTAAATACTAAACCCTAAACCCAAAACCCTAAACCCTAAACCCTATCTAGACCTAATTCAGGGCTCACGTCTCTGATGTAAAGGGGCATGGACCCTTTGCGCTAAGTTTTCCTGGATTTGGGCTTAGGATATAGTGTTTAGGGTTCAAGGTAAGGTGTAGGGTTTAGGGTTTCGGGTTTAGGGTTTAGGGTTTATAAGGTTTAGGGTTTAGGGTTAGGCTCCGTTCAGAGGCATTAAGAAGTTACCAGAATGGAGAAACACATGGACAATATCATGGAAAATAGCATCGACACTAATGTTATGTGGATTCTGGCTTGCTTGTGGTCAGAGGAAATGAAGGGTTCCAAGAACATGGACACCACACATGCACTTAGGATTTTAATCTGAGGATGTGGAGGCACGAATCTAGGTCACCCTAAACCCCAAACCCTGCGGGAAGGAACAAGGTCGCACTCAGGAATCGCCAAGATCCCTGGAGTGAACGGAAGCCATAAGTCTCAATGGGATTTAGTGTTTAGGGTTGAGGCATGGGATGAAGGAGGCAGAAGCAGAGAGGGAGGAAGGGAAGGAGGGAGGGAGGGAACGAAGCAGAGAGGGATGGCTGCAGGGTGAGCCTATGGCTGCGGGGTTCGGGCTTGTTAGGGTCTAGGCTTGCGATTGCTGACCACTGGTACTTCAGACCCATACATCATGCGGAGGTTGTAGGAGCCACAGACTGGGTGTCCGGCAAGAAAGTTACACTATGTTGCCATAGCACGCAAATCCTTCGAGTTTGGGATCAAGGGCTTAGGATACTTGCTATGTGCCCATGCTATGGTAAAATCGAGTTCCTGCACAGAAACCCCGGACATCATGAGCATGTTCTTCAACTTTAGGAGCCCTACCTAAACCCTAAAAGTATGTAAAATGATAGCCCTAAACCTATAATAACAGCCAAAAAGGCTATAATTCTACATACTTCAGGGGTCCAGGTATAGGCTTTTGAAATCAGTTTTTGAAGTTCGCGCGCTCAGGTGGGATCTGGGGACAAGGTTCAGCTAGGATCTAGAGCTTAAGGATATTCTCTTATAGGGAGATTATATAGTGGCCGGGCTTAGGGTTAAGGGTTTAGGGCATGCAGGGGTATATAACCCTAAACCCTAAACTCTCTCACCCACCCAAACCCTAAGTGATGGTGATAAGCCCTAAACCCTATAGTTGAACACAGCGGCATGTGCCATGGTCTGGTGTCTCCACAGCTTGATGTGCAATATGACTCCTCAAACAACCGCGGCCCACTCAAGATTCTCCGCACCCACAGTGGTTTTAGGGTTTAAGGCTCAGGGGAGGCTTCAGCGCTGACGGAAATGTAGTTTGCAGGACTGTTCGGAAGAAGGTGCAATATACCTGGGAGGCCCATACTCCGTTCTGCATATATCCCGCAATCTACCGCTGTGATGGGGAAAGACGCCTCAGGCCTTGTATGGCATCGTTCACATCCCCTTTGCAGTGCCACCGCATGTTGCCACGATCCTGCTGATGCCACTTGCAGCTGCAAAACGTTGTTTTTCCTTGAAGTTACGTGGCTGAGGGCTTACTATCCGTGTGTGTGTGTGTATACCTATGTAGAGCTTGCAGCCCGAAACCCCAAAGTTCCGAAGGCCTCCCTGCAAGACATTGTATTGTGCCGTTCCGTAGCTTCAAACCCGGCAGAACAAACCTGGATTGCGTGAAGGTTCTTGGGGACACTTGCTTCTTTAGGCTAGGTAGGACAACACTCATGTTACAACCAGGTCATAACCTAGATCCGCCCCATAGTTGCTGTTGTAGATGATACTCGTGTTCGGAGATATTCTGCTTACATATATCCTTCTACAATTCCTATAGTAGCTTCAGTACAACGTGTCATACGACCTTCCCGCTTGATTTTCCATTCTTAGGTTAATACTCCTAAACCTTAAACCCTAGATTTAGTTGCCGTGTTTTTTCCATCATCCCCAGTTCAAGATGCAGTTCTTTACTTACCTTGACGTTGGGTCTTTAAGGCCTAGCGGCAGGAGGAAGTTGAACTTTTGGACCGCATGACCAATTGTGAAGACAAGTGTGTACTAAACTCTAAACGATAAACCCCATTTAGGGTCTACCTCCCTAAACCCTAAACCCTACACCCGAGTTTAGGGTCTACCGTGACTACTGCAGGAGAAGTGGGGATCGAAAGAAAAGATCAGCTTGTTTGCTGGGTGATTTAGCTGCCTTCTGGGGGTTGGATATCAAGCGGTTTAAGTGGGGCATCCCTATCTATATGGTTGCTTATCTTTTTTGGAACCCTAAGAGGGACCGCTAATTTCAAGTGCCACGGCTCCGAAATCCCCTAAAACTCAGAGCCCTGCTCAGATGGCTTGAGAATTAGCTTAACGGGTGCGTGATTCTGATGATAAGCCTTTGTAACCCCCCCCCCCCCGTATAACCTATCTATCATCCATCTAAGAAATTCCCAGCCTGTCTAAGTGAACCTCCAATCCTGGTTTTTAGCATAAGCCCTAAACCCTAAACCCCGTTAAACCCTAGGAGCCACTACGCATAGCAAGCCTGAGATTTCAACTCGAAAAGTTATAGGCCAGGCCCCTACGTGCGAGGCATGGGGTCCAAACCCGGTTAAGGTTACCCCAAAAATAGTACTAGGGGTTTAGGGTTTAGGGGAGCCTTTCTGGGCTCTAAGTACATGCCCTTTGGGTCTTGGGTTTAGGATTACCCTGCAGCCCCTGGACCTTGGTGGTTCTTTGTGTTTTTTGGGGCTTGGGTGGGGGTGCGAAACCCTGGACCCTGCTTGGCGCAGTTAAGAGTTAGGGTTTAGGGTTTCTTGTCAGCTTATAACTGGGCGTATAGCCTACCTTGCTTATAATCCCACTAAACTGCCTCATTAGGTCGCCCCAGAAACAAGTAGCGGTATGGCCCCAGGTCTAAGTAGCTACTAAATCGCATGAACCTCCAAGTAGTTGCCATAATTGTAGTCACCCTCGGAAATACGCCCACAAGGCCCTCAATATTACTCTGGATTACCCTGCCCAGCATAGGGGAATCCCACAGGCCCCGTTAGACCTAGAGCCAAGGCAACATGATCTCGAGAGACTTGGCTCCAGACGAGAAATCATCGCACGCCCTGAGAATTGCACCCAGGCCTCGTAGATTTAGGCTTTAGGGTGTAGGGGTTGAAAAATATGTAAAATGATGAGCCTCTCTGAGTTTGTTTAAAGACCTGAGCCTTAAACTTCCGAACCCATCAACCCAAAAGTATGTAGAAGATTTCATTGTTCCTTTATCTTCAGATATCTTTAAGGCAAAGATTGGACCTATTGTTGAATCCACGTACCACTTTGGGACTTGACTGGGCCAGCTCTTTGCAACTCGGTTTGGTTTACCTCCGAACCCAATGACCTTCAGTTTTGGGTGTAGGGTTTACCTCAGAACCCCGATGTCTGGAGTTTGAGGATCCTGTGGCGTCAATCTGTATATGATTGAGGTTAGGGTTCAGGGCTTCGGGTTAAAGATAGGGTTTCGGGTCCAGGTCTCACGGTTCAGGGTTTAGGCGCGACCTCTGATGTCTTGCCTGCAAAGCGCGATGGGTTACCCTAAACCTTAAATTTCAGTTCAAACTTGAGGGAAACTCTGCTGGAATGGGGGATCTTTTCAGGAGTTCGGGTAAAGGGCGTAGCTTCGTGGAGCTGAAGACATTGTCGGGCACTTCAACAACTTCACATAGGACATGTAGAGCCGTCGCCGAATAGAGGCCCAAGCCCCGCAAACATTTTATCTTTCTCAGCCCTCCTTGCGGTAGATAGGAATGACTCCCCTCCCCTAGTCTTAAACCCCCCACCCCCCCTAATATTAAAATACTTTCACATTATTCTAATATTGCACGATGGGGAGTATTTGATGTTAGGAGGGGATAATAGGGGGAGGGGTTTACATGTGGAGAAAACCGGAGTATGTTGTTCTCTGATTTTTTGCGCACTGGAGAGGAGGAGCTCAGAACCTTGTCCCTCAAGCCCACTTTGAGCAAACGCCATGTAGCACCCGGGCCTTAGGCACAGAAGACTCCATACTGGACTTTGTCGGGGATATCGAAGGTGTGGAGAGGCAGCCAGCTTTGCTGTTGTCCGACCCTACTGCCAGAAACCCAAACCCAAAGTGCTAACAAACCACCCTAGACCCTAAACCCTTAAGGCCTGCACCTATGTGCCCTTTCATTGTACACCCCTGCATCACTTCAGGGCTTAGGGTTTAGCGCTTGGGGTTCACTGTTTTTTCATGTAGTAGGCGCTGGCGTCTATTTCTCCGGCTGCATGTTGCTATAGACTCCCTGATGCCTGCAACCTACCTGTTCACGCTACTGATGGCACCTGGGCCTGAGGACAGGGGTTCTATTTTACACAGAGAGATTACGTATAGGAATTGCGGAGGTCAGGATGCAAATTCTCAGGATGTTTAAATCTGCAGAGATGTGACATGCTGACATCAGGTGCATGAACGTGGGGTCTGCATGGGCGAATGTCTTATGATGATGTTGGCTAAGCCGGCCTTCAATCGCAGAAAATCTAAATTGCAGCCCCCCAAACCCTGATTCTCCAACAACGAGCTCTAATGCCTAAACGTTTTTCCCGATCCCGATCACTACGCGCGAACTCCTCCTGCAAGATGTTTCTTCCAACGGCTGTTTTTACAAGGGTATAGGTAGTAACTTATAGGGTACCGGTACGTTCAAGATGGTCTAGGGTCAGGGGTCCGAGGTTCTGGAGGTATGCGCATCTACCTTCTGGTCTACCTTCTGTAGGAGCCCTTGGTAACCTCAGGAACCCTAAACCCTAAACC